CATCTGTAACGTTAGGATGTTACTAAAACGACACGTGTCAGTTTTTTAAATTTTTATTGAACAATTTTAACTTTCATTTTAACATCTGCAAGCAAGCGTCTCGACCTTTCGAGCTATGAACCATGTACCGCTACACATCTATACTGAATTTATTTTAAACTTTATTTACTACTTTGAATTACATTACTTGTTAAATTCCTGTCTGTTACTAAATTCAATGCAGCCTTAACACTCATAAATGTTTAATAAAATTTTTATTTCTTTTTAATTTCAATAACACGCCTATTTTTTTATGCTTATACAATAAACTGTATATGCTAAATTCAAGTGAAGCGTTAAACTCACACATTTAAATAGTGAGGAATGCGCGTTTAATATGTAAACACATCGAACTGAAGTAGCCTTATGATGCTAGAAGAACTTTCATACTACGTGAACTCATTCTGAGTTCTGATTTTAACTCCTGCAAATAATAAAAATTTAAATAATTAGTGTTTCTGTCAAAAAATAAAGTTCGTCAGAATTAATATATGGACAGAAATTGTTGAAATGTGAACTTATTCTGATGATGTAACTTTTATATGTATGGAATAGCAACTTTTCATATCACAGATTAAAATAAATTTTAAGTTTCGCTTTTCTCTCTTTTATTTTATTTTATTGAAATTAATAAAACAGAAATAAAACAGGAAAATACTGAATAATAATAATAATAATAATGATAATAACAAGGTGATTATTCTCATGCTATCAACTCAATATGTTCATTAAATATCCTAAGTGAAAAAATTGTTAAAATCAAAGAAGATCATAGAAAATCAGACTACTTAACTCTAGGTAAAAGTTACCGATGTTAATCGCGAAATCTCTGACTTCGCCATCGAAAACAATGCCCCGTTTAACTGTTTGTACACGATGATATTGTAGTAACCTTATGTTCGCGACGATAAGGTATCTCCATCCTGTGAAACGCGCCAATTTTGCTGTCTAGTAGTCCAAGCATTTTATCATGGGTGGCGCCAAAGTCACTCTGTGTGAACTCCCATATCGGTAACATTTGTCTACCTGTTTAAGCGTTTGACCATGGATATCGCCACCAGTCTAAAGCTCAGATTTTCGGAAAAATTTTTACCGGAATATACATTTATGGTATGCATAAGATAGCAAGAATTATTTATTGTATTGGAAAAATTATATACTATATTGAAAAAAGAAATTTTTTCACGGCGGGTGATCGATGTTTTCTTTCTTGAACTTAAGGCAGCGGTTTCCAACCTTTATGCTACTACCTATACTACTACTCCCTATCTTTTAATAGATATAATAATATAGACACGTTTTAAATAATAATAACTATAATTCACTTTTTATTAAAAATTTTTGCACCTCCCCTGACAATAGTCCGCGCCTACCAGGTTGAAAACCGCTGGCTTAAAGCTAACTTAAAAGTAACTTATTTCTATCTTAAACTGTGATGTAAGAAAACGCCACGTATACCGAAGAATTAACAGACTAAGAAAGAAAATAGAGTGAATAAAAAAAGAAATCCTAGTATGAAATAAACGCATCTGTTTGAAGATGCTTTTGGTTATTGCTTCCTTCGTCGGTGCGGACTGTGCAACGTGGAGGCTGCGATCTGGCCAATAGCTTTGTCCGTTGGCTAGAGATCTCCACCATGCATATGGTAATGTCCTCCAACAGAGTCATATCAAACCACTCTCATTCACGAACTACACCATTTGGGTTGGCAACTACTCATGCGTACCGAGTGCCTCCTATCTAAGCCACACATAAAAGAGCTCACCGTAATCACTGGATTCCTACGCGAAAACAATATCTCCATATAACGTATAAACCATCCGCCATCACCCTAACTCTTGTAAACCCGTCACTAGCATGTACTCTGTAGAATATTATAAGTTACCACATAGCAGTTAGACCTAAATCGCCCATAACCTAACCTGTATTGCGCTATCACGCTACCAATTTACTGCACCCGCCACATGTATTCATGAGCGGTATGGTCAATACATTTTTTAAATAAATACAATACAATACAGTTTAAAATTTTAATATTTTTTATTCTCATACCTGTGATTTATAGCACTGTCATGCAAAACTAGCCTTAGTCGATATGAGAAGGCGTGATACAAAAGTGGTACAAAGGTCCTAGGACCCCCGGAAACATGTAACGAAATTTTACATTGCATGTTATGTCTATCCTATACCTCGTCTGTGGTTCAGACAGCTCCTTAAATAGAGGTAGTGGGAGAACACTGTTTTCGAGTTACTAGCATGAGGGGATTAAGTTAGACACCCCTGTTCATGGTTAAATTAACTTCAAATTAAAACATATAGGAAACTTTATAACACGAATAAAATTCATAATAAATAGTCTAGGGAAATTTTATACTTTCCCTATGTAAATACATGAAGTTTATATGCTGAATGTAGTATGACGAGTTACATATGCATGTATACATGCTTTGTTAGTGTATGAGATTGAACATCAGTGTGTTTATGTCATCTCCCGCGCAAAAACGTTAGAAGTTTAATGTTCAGCAAATTAATTTTTTTCAATAGCAGATAATATTTTGACATCTGAATGTTCACCGATAAAAAGTTATGGGTACAATAGAAGTCACGTTTCCAGTTGGTGGACAACCAGGAAAAATATTAAAATGGAGGGTTCGAATGGATGCGATGGTTTCAGCGGGCAGAGTATTGTTTTTATATCAGAACATTACTCCAGGTACCGAAGATGTCAAGGGCCCTGAGAAAAAGTATCGGGCCACACGATTTGGTCGTGTCACGAAATTATTGACAAAAGAAGGGGATATTGTTGAGCCTGGGTATACATTCTTCTTAACCTTAACTTCGCATGATTCGTTAATTTAAAAGCGTTATGTAGTTTTTTTATAAAAACATTTAACTATTTAAATTAGTAGATTTTAAAAATATAATTTTCTGTTAATTAAAAAACCCGGTAAAAAATTATTTCCTTTTCATATGATCTTTTGTATCATTTCTCATAAATTTATAATTTGTTTCCAAATTTGCATCAGTGATTAGTATTTCAGGCAAGTGATAATGATATTAGAAGGATGTCGACATCCTACTGTAATGAAGGATTTATGTGCTGAATGTGGTGTAGATTTAAGGGTTGAAGGAGTTGGTAAAGAGAGCAAGAATGTGCAAATATCTCAAGCTAGTGTACCAATGGTACATAGTGTCCCAGAATTAAAAGTATGCCCAGAATTAGCTGAAAAAATTGGAAAACAAGATGAACAACGTCTTTTGAATGATCGCAAATTAGCATTGCTTGTTGATCTTGATCAAACAATTGTTCATACAACAAATGATAATGTTCCTCCAAATATGAAGGTACATTTACTTATGTACGTATCATAAAAATGATTCATTTAATTTTATCAATTTTTTTTCTTCATTGAAGGATGTTTATCATTATCAACTCTATGGACCAAATTCTCCGTGGTATCATACCCGTTTAAGGCCTAATACTAGACATTTTCTTTCTGAGATGAGTCGTTTATATGAACTGCACATATGTACATTTGGAGCAAGAAATTATGCACATACTGTAGCAGGATTGTTAGACAAAGATGGAATTTTATTCTCTCATAGAATACTTTCAAGGGATGAATGTTTCGATCCTGCATCAAAGACAGCTAATCTCAAGTATACCTATAATGCTTGTCTATCAAATAATTAAGAATGTTATTGTTAAGCTAATACAATTACATACAATTCAATTATATTTTAACAGAGCTTTGTTTCCATGTGGAGATGATTTAGTATGCATTATAGATGATAGAGAGGATGTATGGCAAGGGTGTGGTAATTTGGTCCAAGTGAAACCTTACCATTTTTTTCGACATACTGGTGACATACACGCGCCACCAGGTTTAGAAAAAAATGATGTTCCCGTTTTACCTGAATTACAAAATACAAATGAACTTTGTACAGAAGAGAATCAAAATGAAACAAATAAAAATGGTGCATCTGAAGTACCAAGAGAAATCATTGTAGATAATAATTCTGAAAACGAAGTCCAGGAAACGACTGAAGATAAGGAAAATATTTGTCAAAGCGAAGAAAAAAAAGATGAAATTACCAAAGACAACATCAAGGACAATACAAATGAAGGTTCTAATTCTAATACTGAAAATAGTGATAAAATGTCAAAAGGAAACGATGAAAATAAGGATATTGAAATACCAGTAGAAAAAGAACTAAACAAAGACAATAAAACATTAGAAACAGAAGATGAAAACAAAGATAAAATATTAGAAGAAAAAGAAATACCACCAACACAGACAAAACAAGACAGTAAAAAAAAAGATATGTCAACCGAAAATAATGTTACGGATGAAGATGATGATGATTATTTACTATATTTAGAAGATATTCTTCGAAGGATTCATACCGAATTTTATGCTAATTATGATAAGAAAAATGGGCGCAAATCATTGAGAGATATTATTCCACGGGTACGAGCGCAAGTATTGAAAGGAGTGCATTTAACTTTCAGTGGATTAATACCTACTAATCAAAAACTCCAACAAAGTCGAGCATACAAAGTTGCTAGAGCATTTGGAGCAGAAGTAGCACAAGTAATTTGTAACTTTTATCTTTGGATCAGTATATATTCTTTTTGTTTATTTTAATAAATCATTATGTAATAGGATTTGACAGATAAAACTACACATTTAGTGGCTATTAGACCTGGTACTGCTAAAGTTAATACAGCTAAGAAAAATGGAAATATAAAAATTGTAAACCCAGATTGGCTTTGGACTTGTGCAGAACGTTGGGAACATGTTGACGAACGTTTATTTCCTCTAACTATAAAGGTATAGGTTCTATAAAAGTAATGCAATAATTATGGTAATATTTGTAAAATCATAAATTTAAATAAAAGTAGCGTTCCGTTCTAATTTAAATAAGTAATGTATTTTTAGGCTCGAGCTTCTAGGATACCACCCCCACATTGTAGCAGCCCCGAACGTGTTGAGGAAGAAGAAAGGAGGATAGAAAATAGTTTTGCCGATAGTATTAACCCATTAATGTCATTTACACCGGAAGAGTTAGAAATTATGGATAAAGAAGTTGAAGAGGATATGGATGATCAAGAAATGGAACCACCTGTTTTCGACATTGAAGACGAAGATGGTATAGGAGAGTGTAATAAAGAAACACGACAAAAGAGTTCCGATTCTGAAGATTTTATGCACGAAGAACGTAGGAGTACTTTATATTTTCATTTCAGTTAATATAAATAAATATAAGGTAATAATTTTGTAATTGTTCAATAGGAGATGATGCAAATGAACCGGTAAGAAAAAAAAAGAAATTTTCTCATGAAAGTAGTGAAGATGATTCATCAAGTGGTAAAGAAGATACTATGGATGACGACGACGACGACGACGACGACGACGATGATCCTGTAACTCGTTTTAGAAGAGGTGAAGATTTGCCCGATGATTTAGATTTAGGAGATAATTCTCAAGATTCAATTGATGATCTTGAATTAATGGACAATGAAGATGACCGAGAATGGAATGCAATGGGAGCTGCCCTCGAGAGAGAATTTCTTTCTGAATAATTTATTACAAAATTGTTTGTTTATCCATAAACTAATCAAATTACATTATTTGTAAATTTCACATTGATCGATTTTAGTAATAACAATTACTGATTATATTTAAAACAATTACTGTATTTGTAGAATGTCTTAATCAAATAGTTTAATGAAATTTCACTGAGAGCATAAAAGAATAATGTACAATTTGAATAAGGAAGAATGCAAAGAAAGTGTTTGTATTTAATTATTGAATTGAAAATATATGCACAAAGACCATATATAGGATTAATAATGTAATTTATATAAATTTTTACTTTAATGTTGTTTCCCTTCTCACTTTTTGAACAAGAACTAATTTATGTGAAAATTAAAAATTTAAATAACATTATTTTGTAATGTGAACACCTTCCTATTTTTAAAACACTTTTTTCTATGCAACAATGAAACCAGATTTTTATACCTACACTACAATTGTATTGAGGTCTAAAATAATAAATAATTATCTTTTTTAATATATGAATTTTGTTTATTATACATCAAGAAACTAGATAAGTATTATAATTTAATTTGGATCTATTGCATATGGCTCATCTCTGTTTGGATCATCAGTGAATTTAATATAAGTTTTTTTGTCTGTGAAGTCTCGTATACCTTCTAATGACCCTCTTTCCTTCGCCTTATCATAATCAAATGCAGAATCTAATTTTCCAAACAATCTGGCATCTTCATCTATATGTTCCCTATATTTTCATAAATATTGAATGAAAAATTTGTAACCACACATTTTATTAAATTATGTTAGAAACAAATTAAATATTAACTTGAAAAGTAATATACGTACCTATATTTGCCTGCAACTACTTTTTTACCAGTTATAGGGTCTGTAATATCACCCAATGGGTAAATGACCTCAAGAACCTATGAATATTAATAAAAAGATTGGAACCGCCAAAACATTTTAATTGTTTTATTTCATATACATACTCAAACAAGTACGTACCTTATGAGTAATAAGACGTGTTAACTTTGTTGGTAAGTTTTGTATTAACACCGTATCACCAGTTTTACAACGTTTTTCGGGATCAGAGGCATAAACAAATGTAAATTTACTAAAATACTGTAATGAGTAGAAAAGAAATATAACCTCAAATATATTTTCATGAAAGTATTACTAATGTTTACGTACCATCAGGAGATGACTATCAAAATCCAATGTTTTTATGCGTATTTTAGCTGCATTTTGTTTACTTGTTGGCACACATATCCCTAATAAGCGTGTGAGCTTCGTTGCTCCTTTTCGCGTTGCCATCCTCTATGGTCGTAAATTTTTTGGCTCTGCAGAAGTAACTTCGATTAGATTATGTATGTATATAGTATAGGTCTTTATGTATATAGTACACAACTACCAAGACTATATATAATACTAATATGTCATACAATAGATAATTAATTATTAATTTGTTTTTTTCATATTGTTACAATATATTTGCATACTTATTAATGATTTGTAAAACTATTAATTTATATCTTATTGTTTTTCTTTTTAAAGAAATACAACATTTTAATTTGATTTTTAATTTTAGTGGAATACCTAATTGTATTTTGTGTATATGTATTTATTATAATTAATATTGGTTTTCTTGTACAGCAAAAAAAGTAAAATTGCTTAAAAAAATATTATATACATATACAAGATTATCACTATTTTTTAATATCTCAACATAAGTAATATGTGTTTTCTGGGGTACACTAATAATATTCGAAAATATAGCAATCTTCTACGAAAGTAGAAAACTAGTAGAAAACTTCTACCAATGAAGTACTTATACATCCTGAGTGCTAGATGGATCCCCTATCAGCTTCAGCATCATAGAATACTCAGGGGACGAACGAGCTTTAATAATAATTAATCTTCAACTACTAACAGGGTAACTCTAGTTTTCGATAATGGGGCACTCAATTACATGCTTCCATAATTAATAACATCGTGGATATCGAATATAATCCGAATAAGAGGCAAGAGTTAGCGAGAAAATAAACTTATTATGTTTAACGAAATATCGTAAAATGTAATACTATTTGCTTCAAAACATTCTGTCCTTTCTTCCTTTAAACGAACTTCCATGAAATAGACTGTCTTAATAATTAATATAACATAAACTTCTATAAAATATCTGATCACAATCATGCATTCAGTAAACGTAACATAGAAATTGATTTAAAGGAGACATTCAATTTTTTTGCATACACGATAATTTTTCTCACAGCTATGATTAAATTAAGGTTATTAAAATATATGTTAGTTTATATAATTAGAGGATTATATTTAAAATAAACAGGGCCTTCAATATCCTATTTTCTTTATCACAGTTTTATATCTGTGCTTGTGAACGCATACTTGCTGACAGCTTCTTCCTTTTCGATTTAAGAGAAAATTCACGTTAGTCGTTTTGTCGCGACAGCAGGCTAGAGGGACGCAGCCGCCAAGATCATAGCCAAGAAAATCTCGCGGATGAAAGACAAAAGGTGGCGAGACAGAAAAAAAGATGGATAAGAGGCATCGGTTTTTTTCATCAGCATTTGCAATCGCATTGTTGCCGTGGGCTGTAGACAATTCGCTAGGGGAAAAATATCAGTGGATATCTTGGGAGGTGCACAAGGAGATGAAAAATAAGCATGGCAAACAAAGATGTTGATAAAGGAGAAGGAATTCAAATCCAAAGACCAGTGTGTCAAAGTGTGCTATTTTTGTTCTGTATTCGTTTTTCTATTGTTTAGAAAATCTGACAAATCTTGCCATATAAATTGTGAAAATGTTATTTTATGTCACATCTCATATCTTTACGAAAGATTTAACGTCTTTCATTGTTTATTTGGTTGATTAAATGAAATCTATATAAATCTTCATAAAATATTTTTAATTTAGACCAATTTATTGTAAATATTTTGTTTGATTTCAGACAAAGAGATGCATGTCATTTAAATGATACACAGTGGGGTATTTGCTCAATCTAAAATTAAAGACAAGTTTTAATTGACTTTTCACAAGAAAATATGAGAATGTAAATAATATAATAATACAAAATAAAATGCAATTATATGGCATATAAAAATAAATTTACTAATATAAACTATATATAATTTCATGTACATATATAAAAAAATAGGTCTACTGTTTCAAAATATATGGAAAGTGTTGTGAGAAATTTTAAGAGTAAAACGCGTAGTTGGAAATGCCTAACTTTCGGGGTAGTTCAGCATTTTTCAAGTGTTCCAAGGATAAAAAACATTTGTAGGACATTGTTCCTCACATATTTAGCTATTTCAAACAGCAAAAATTTTTTGGTATAAATACAATTTTTAAAATGGTCTTTTGGCCGACCTGATCGGACGAATATCTCACTGTGCGACAGTTTAATCGTTAAATATACAGCAGTGGATAAAGTAACGTGTAAAATTGATCCTTAAATATTGTCACACGTTTTTAGAAACGCCATGTACTACGCATTTGGCATCTGTGAGCTTTTTAGGCGACGCGAAGGAGAAGGGGAATTCACGGGTGATCACCCGTCGAATCGACGGCGACTGAGCCGTCAGTCAACCAGGAAATTCCATTGTTGGCGAAAAAATCGGGACAGCTACGGCTCTGTTGTAGCTATTGCTTCTGTTACAATGCGTCTTGCTCCTATAAGTCTATCTTTTTCGGTCGTGCCAACAATTTCATCTTCGAATACCTCGGCGAATATAAAAAAAATTGGCAAAAAAGTAAGAAAGAATTTGATTCGTTTAAACAAACAAAAATTGTTCTATGAAAATTCGTTGAACGTGGAAAACACGTTTCGCGGTTCGGAAATCGAAGCGGCAGCAGTTGTCGGTGAATATTTATAATGAAATTAACAATGTTATCGGCTTGCAAGCTTAGCGGACCGCCACGTGTAATCACGATGCAAGTTTTGATTTGACCCTCTGCCCCATCAATTCCCGTTCTTTTTTTTCTCCGACGCGCGCGTACACCGCATTTACATATAAATATGATCGTGTACCGTCCGCGTTCCCATTGGTTGCAACATTTCGACCTACGTGTAGGTACGAACAAAATGCATAAATTAAACTCGTTCTGCTGCGCGCCGCCATCTGTATGGACGGGGCGCATTAGGTGTATGCGTATCAGAGGGAATTTGCGCGTTTGAAACGAACAGTTCATTCTTTATTACCATACATCTCTGCCGGTGAACTCGAAATAATTGTCAAGCAATTGTTCGCGCACCATTTTGAACTAAAAGTTCAAATTTATTCATGCGTGCGATATCTGGGCATTATTTGTTCGAGGACACAGCGATGTAATAATCGTTAGTTTGAAATGTAAGAAAATGGATTGGAAAATTTGTAAAAGGTAATACATCGTTTTATACAGATTTATACAAATTCTAGAAAATTCGAATTCGTCCACTGCCGCAACAGAAACGTATCATAAAAAGGAATCAATATAAAAATTAATTTTCAGGTAGTTAATATTTCCATATTCGTTATTGTTTCCATTCTCCAATATGAAGAAACGTCCAAATTATGAATATAAAATTTACATTTTGCAAATTTAAAGTAATTTTAATGTTAAGTAATATTAAATTACTGTAACATGTCTGTAAGGTAACATCTTTGAGGATAGTATAAAATGTTCTCATTGAGGTGTGAAAGCTGTACAATTGTTTAACAAAATATTTAAATATAACCTATTCACCATGAAACATATACCAGAATTTTAGACTATGGAGTCGTTGGCACCCTATTAAATAAACCATAGTTCAATATCCCCTCAGGTGACACTATGCTTGTTTTCCCCTGTGATTTTTCACGCGTAACTTGATTGTAAGAGACATTTCCGAAAAGTGCAGCTGTCACAAAGGGTGAGCAGCAGTATATTTACACATGTAATCGTTCTGTGATTTATAGTCGCTGAATGGGGTGGCTCCGGTCTTCGACACCCCATCTTCGATCCCCGGAATCCCCGTTCTATTGCGAATTAATCGTGCGAGGTAGCAGGGGCAGGCCACTTCATACTTCCTTATAACACTTAATTTTAATTACCGCCGGTAATTACGTTCGCATCGCATTTTAAACGTCTGAAAGCTCTTTAACCTGTCAACGGTGAAGGACTTTCATTGTCCTGTTTAATTATGTAGATAAATGGAATTTATAGACTACGAAAAATCTGGGAAGTCACGAACTTCGCGTTTGAAGGATCGAATATACGTTCCGCGTTGGAAACAATTAAATAACGGATCGTCTAATGCAATGTTTCCTGATGAAAACGCAACACGCATTACACAAACGGTTTTGGAACGATATAATCAGATATTGCGGGGAACAGAGGAATCGCCGGCGAGTGGTGATGGTGGCGGTGATGGCGGCGGTGGCGGCGGAGGGCTCGTAAACCGACTCTGTTTTGAGGGGAACAAGATTATCGTTGTAAAGTTCCTATCTAACGAATTTATGAAACGTTGCGCCGCCAAGTCCCGATTTAATAACCGCGTGCTGCGGTTTTTTTCTCGTTTGCCATAATAAATTTTCGCTCACGTGTACCCTCGCTTAGCCCGAAAAACGGCGAGAGATCGAAAATGGCGGAAGGCCGGCTAGAGGTTAGGGGCTTGATGGCGGGCAGGCAGGATAGAGTAGAAGCCTTTCCGCGAAACCGTCGGAATTCCTTTTTCCTTGGCGTTTCCTTACTGACTCTCGGACCCTTTCTCCTTGATCCTCTGAAAGGAGATATCGTCGCTTACCCTTTTCCTGCCAGTGTCCTCCTCGGACCCTACGGGGTTATTTCCGACCTACAAAGGTTTGTCTGTGCCATGGAGAGTAACGCCGAGTATCGTCGAAGGATACAAATGTCGGCAGATGTTACTTCGTGAAAAATTCCTTGCCCGTCCGAACACGGAGAGCGCGCATTTATTTTTATCGCTCGGCACAGTCAAGTATTTCAGTCAATGCTTCTCATTTCACCGGCGATCAGAGGGATTTGTTTTAATAATACGATTGTTTTGGAACGATACGTCGCACACAGTTACTCTCCTGTATTTCTCGCTTTGACAGGAAATTATTGGATCGTCTGGAAAGTTGGGTATTTCCTAAATTTTCTAGTATTAAGGGAAAGAAAATGCGAAAAGTGGTCATAGATAAGAACGGTAGTCTGTGTAATTTTTCATTTCCCTTACTTTTTTGATGAGAGTGAATATTTTCGAGCAAGATTTTACTTCGATTTCGGTCGGAGCGTCAGTGTGGATGGAAAAGTGATCGATAAGACACTTTTAGGAAGATTATCAACTACCAGGAAAGAGAAGCAGTCGCATTAGTAAAGCTGCGAAACTCTTGACGTTAATCACGGG